GAGATGGGAGCGTGTTCGGGCCGGAGAGTTGTCTCGGGGGTTGGGATTCTCTTCTGGTTCCTGGGTTGAAGACGATCTGGGGCGGCAGCGGGGGGGCTATTTATGCGGGGCTGCGGGGGGGAGAGCCGTGGGCCCACGGCCAGTATGACCGGTGGGGCCCGCGTGTTGTGGTGTTAAGTGCTGCCGCTGTGGCAGCAGCCGGGAAGTTTCTTCTTGCTAACACGACGCGCTGCTGCTCACTAATTGTGGTTCCGATTCTCGTATATTTTCAGAGATTTATATATTGTACTTAAACGAATTATTGATTTATTGTTGCATGCATGGTACGGTTTGGACGTACGGTGCAACGACGGCTACCGTGTGCTGTTGCTGTTGGGAGTTTTGGACGGTCAGGTTTTAGTGGTTGGGGAGGATGGTACAGTCAGGTCTGGGCTTTGAAGAGGGATAAGTTGATGGGGGAGTGGGATGATTGTGTTTGGGCTTGATGCATATTTTCTCAATTTGTGAGGTGGTGGTGCATGTTTGTGGATGAATGAGAGGTTTGATTTGTGCCGATCACGGTCCGAGTTATTAACTCCGTGATTTCTTTGGGATTCTCCCATAAGTAAGGTGGGAATGGTGCTGACACGGGTCGGGCAGCGACGTCGGAGGCTGTAATGTACCGAGGGTCCGTGGCGGAGGTGGTGACAACACGGAATGGCGTCGACGACGAAGTGGAGGAGGAAGGTTCGTGCATCGATGGTCAGAGTTTAGGGAGAGGACCATGCATCAATTAGAGGAATGAGATATTTGCGGAGCACAAGCGAGTTAATAGCAGTGTGATCCCTTTGAGATTGTATCTCAGGTAAGGAGCAAATAGTGACAGCGTGGGGCGACACAGAAGTCGGAGGCTAAAATGGGTCGATACAGAGGCGATGCCAATGCGGAATGCCATCGATGATGGATGCGAGATGGGAGCTCCATGCACCGACGGCCAAGAGTTTAGGGTGAGGCACCGGCCCCGAAGAATGGATGCCCCTCAGGGTTAGAGTGGTGACCAGGGACCGTGACGGTACTTGCGATGGTAGTGGTTTGGTCAAGGCAGAGCGGAGAGACGATGTGGTAGCAACTACGGCCGTGAGTAGTGAAGAGAAACAAGTTCACGGATTACGTAGGTCAGGGGAAATAAAATGGTTGCATGAAAAAGAAACGTGGTGACTCCCTCATCACAAATTACTTGTCATAAATTTGTCTATATACAAATGTATCTAGAGACGTTTTAATGTTTAGGTACATCGGTATGTAGACAAATCTAATACTCGCTCTGATCCATATTAGTTGTCATTCAAACGAATGTATCTAGCACTGAAATGCGTCTAGATACATCTTTTCGAGCGACAAGTAATTTGTGACGAAGGTTATTACTAAATCTAGTGATAGCGCTGAAAAAGCTGTGTTTTAAAAGAGAAACATACAACTATGTTCAAGGTAGCTTAGTATTATAAATAATGCTTGGACCTTTCCCAAAGTGTAAATAATGGTGGTACTAGCAGCTGCTAAAACGGGCCGTGTTTTCGTGTAGCTAGAACAACCACAACAACATACCAAACAAGCCAGAAAAAACATTTAAAATGGAGTCTTTTATCTGGTGCCGAAAACACCTTACTTTCCAGCCTTAACCTTGGGTGGCACACCACATTTTCGCAACAAACAACCAGTATATCTTCTTCTTCTACACAATACATAAAGGAAAACAACAAGTGCATATCTCAAAGTACATCCATCCGAATATATGACGTCCAAAAAAGAATATAGTAATCGCGTTGCAGAAATGCCGGCACGGGCAAACGGAGGCCACGGCCCTGCCGCGGCGCACACACAGATTCGTCCAACATCTCCGCGTCGCAGGGCGCACGGCACGGACATTGGACGGAGATTTCTCCTGCTCCGCTCGCTCCGTGTCTCTCCCTGTCTTTGCTTCAAGCAAAGCTCTCTCTCTGGACGGATGTCTCGCACTGGCCGCGAAACACACTCCACGCATTGCACATGCACATGCGCCTCTCGAAGACGTGTTTGCACTTTGCGCCACGCGTCGCGTACGCGGAGGCATCTCCGTCGTTGCGTGCTTGTGGCTTGAACATTTTTTCGGTTTTTTTCAGACTTCGCCGAGGCCGTGCCGGTCCAGCAAGAGTGACAAAACTTTGTGCGGTTATTATTATCTCCGGCTCCGGGCCGGACGAAACAGGGACGGGCCGGGCGGCCGTGACAGGTTTGTCCGCGCAAGTTACCGGAAAACGGGCGCTGCGTCGTCCCGATGCCGGACACAAGTGGTTCGCATTGGGTCAATACTGCATGTTGACGTATAATGTGCTGCCCAGCCTCTACCACCAGATCGGTCTTTGGTTGCATTGGCTAGAGCATGCACTTCTATATAGTATCAGAGCCAAGAGGTCTTGAGTTCAAGACCCGGCTGGCGTAATTAAAATTGCAGCCCACTTTAGGTCCACGTTTAGGCCTGAGGGAGCCGCACGTGAGGGGGAGTGTTGACGTATAATGTGCTGCCTAGCTTCTACCACCAGATCGGTCTTTGGTTGCATTGGCTAGAGCATGCACTTTTACACTGCACCCCTCCAGTTGGGGAAAGACTTTGAATTGTTTGATCACTGTAGTAGGTTACAGTTGTTGCTGGTAAGAATTTGAATTGATTCGTTGACAAATTAAAAAGGAACTGTGGTTGTCCTTGACAGCCGACAAGTAGTAAGTCGTTACGCCGCTGGCGACCGGTTGCACTGCGCTGCCGAGATATATGCGAAAATGCGTATGTGCAGGGCTAGCTCCGGCATGGTGCGGTTTAGAATGGATCACGTACAAGAGATGTATATGTATGGTTATTTTCAGAGAGTTTTGGACGACTTGTTGTTGTTGCATGGTACGTACGGTCTAGAGTGGATCTCGTACGGTACAACGACTGCTACATACCGTGTGATGTTGCTGTTCGGATTACCGAAAAAGGGTTTCCCTCCGCTTTGTATACAAAGCAACCAACCGGATCATACAGGGATAGGTGCTGGGGCGGAAGCAGCACAGTCACGCCCAAAAGAAACAACAGAGAAAGAGCAAAAGAAACAAATGCCGACAACGGCGGATCAACAAAAACGAAGAAGCCTCGCGATCGCTAGGCCCACCGGTCTTATCCACTAGGCTCCAAGACTCCGAAGCGCCGGCACCAATCAACACCTCCAAGAAGGATCGCGACGATGACGACGCTGCTGCCAAGGGTTTCCCCCGGTACACGACGAGGCGATAGGAAGAGTAGCCCCCGACGCCCTCCCGGAAGGTCAGGCGGCACCCACAGGCGCCACCGCGTCGGGGTCGGCCACGCCGACAGGGGTTTCCCCCGATCCCAACCCGCACCTCGGGCGCTCCGGATCCCGCCACCAAACTAACCACCACCATACGCCAACGCGGTCATGAGGCCTCCACGCCGTCTCACCACGGCACCGCGAAGTGAGAACAGCACGACGAAGAATCAGAGCCGGGACTAGGGCATCAGCACCATCGGCACGCGGGAGGGCCCCACCTCCACCGTCAGCGACAGTAGCCGTCCGGACGCAATAGAGGAGCACACCAGGCCCGTAGGCCCACAGGCCCGGCCGAGCCCTCGTGGGCCCGTAAAGCTCCCGCCTTCGCGCTGCTGCCGGCACGCCATCGACGCCGACGCCCCAAGTCCGAGCCGCTCCTCCTCCTCACCGCGCCGCAGACAACGAGACCATGCCGGGGGGCCGGCCCCCAGGGGCCCAGATGGGGTCCGACGTGCCCGGATCTGGGCCGGGGGCGCGTCGACGGCCACCCAGCACCACCACGCCGCCCCGCCGCCAAGGAGCGGCGCCGTCACCACGCCGGCCGCCGGCCGCCCCCGCAGGGCCGCC